TCCTTGGGCCACTCTCCAATTTCATATATGGTGTTCATTAGTTTTGTCAGTGTTTTCAAACCACCTTCTCCCAGTAACTTGAGCACATCTCCAGGTACATCATCATCTCCTGTAGCCTTTCCCTTCCTCATTTCCTTGATAGCTTTTTCTACCTCACTTTGTAAAATATATGGCCCTTTCTCATCTGTATCTAGGTGAAATTAAATAAATTAAATAAACAATGTGCACTGTAAGACGGTTAGCATAAATACACATCATGGACACTAACATACTTGTATCGTAATATGCAAAAAATGGTTAAACTTCATAATTCTTGAAGTCCATCCTGTAATTTCTAATTAGATATAATACAGTATGGCACTAAGGTATAAAAAATAATGCAGATAGGGCAACGTTTGTACTTTTTGAAGTGCTTATTATGGAGATATCAAAAACAAAGAATATCTCAACAGTCATCATTGTTAGCATTATCTGAACCAAAAGGTCAAGGATTTTCTTAAATTTAACATAGAGTCTTCAAATCACAACCCAACTTCCAATTAGAAGCTATACTTCACAAGCAAAAATCATGGCCATTAATCCCACCCATAATTCACTGCACATGAGTAATTGTGAGAAAAATTATCTACTTGTATTGAAACCAACAGACGCAACACATGAAGCAGTTAATATTTCTCCAGTACATTATTTTACAGACTGTTGTATGCACCTCAGAGTAGATGCAACTTTCTGACATTACATACATAAGAGGTAGTTGTGAAACAGCAATTACTCGTATATTCAGTTGTAGAACACATCTTACGGTGAAGACATGTTAGCTATATGTGTGAACCTATAACTGTTCAATTCTCTAACTCAATCAGTTGAACACATTTAAGTTCCCACGTCTGTAATGAGAATATCCCTCTTCATAATATACCTGCATATTAAGATCTAAAAGTTTGTGATGATGGTAAATTGTTACAATTAATATGTTGTTGTTGGACATTATCCATCATCTTGTCTGTTCTTAAAAAAAACTGTCCTGTTTCTTTAAAAAAAAACAGGACAGTTTTTTAAGAATAGCAAGATGATGGATAATGTCCAACAACATATTAATTATAATAC